AATATTAACTCTATTAAATAACTAATCAAAACAACTCATATTTTTTTTATAACCATACATAGAAGGATGAACTGTTTAATATAATAGTGTCTTGACGGTTAAAAAAAAATACAAACGATCTCAAGAATATAGAGTAGCAGTTTTGGAAAGATTAATTGTTCCCAGACTCTGTATAAAATTGAAAATGAGACTATGTTCTAATTAAAAATAATTAATCTTAAAATGTTAATTGGGAATTAAGATCAAGACACTGTTCTAGACTTCTAGTTGATTCCTATCCACTTGTTCGAGTTCGTAAGGGCTTTTAGATTTGCCTTTCAATCCCCTTCGATACGTATATGTGTAATTAAGATTTATTAAATCCATCCCCCTCTAGATTTGGCTGCGAGTGATAAAGCGCATGAAAATATTCGAACAGAAAATTTTCTTTATTTCTTACATAACAGAGAGAACAGCTTGCAGACACATATCAATACAAACATACGTGAAGCTGCGGGTTAAGGCTTTCTATTTATACGGTTCAACGGAAGGACTATATGTTATATGATTTATGCAAACACAACCACAATGAAACTGCAGGAAATAAGCTAAGAAAGAAAAGAGACAGGAAATGTAAGAAAGAAGTGGTTGAACCAAACATGACAGCAAATGAATTGTGTCTCCTCTTTTCAGTTTGGTGGCGGGAACAGGATGTCCAGGAATACCTGCTCTGCTTCTTCCAAAAGCAGCAGTTGGGCAAGGCATCGATCGCGGTTTATCTTCCTCAATTCCAGCTCGCTTCTCTTTGCTTCAACAACGGCTTCCGCTTCCCCCGGGTTCTCTCTCATGCGGCTAGTTTTTGCCCTCATCTCCGCTAACTCTGCCTCCATCAGGTGAATTATAAGAGTCTCCTCCATCTGAAGCCCTTGCTCTGCCTCCATCCGGTGGAGGGTCCGCGCCTCCTCAATCTGTAGACCCTCTTCCACTTCCATCGGGGGAAGAGTATCCTCCATTTGTAGCCCCTGCTCCTCCTCAATCGGGTGGAGGGCCTCCTCCTGTAGCCGCTTCTCTGCCTTCATCTGCAGCCCCTGGTTCTCCTCCATCCCGTGAAGAAGAACCTCTTCCTTCTGTAGCCCCTGCTCTGCATCCTCCATCGGTTGAATTAGACCCTTGTCCATCTGCGGCCTCTGTTCCGATTCCACTAAGCGAAGTGCTGACTCTTCCTTCTGTGGCACCTGCTCCACCTCCTCCTTAGTCTCCATCCGTTGGAGAGCCTCCATCGGTTAGCCCTGCAGCTGAGTGCCGACACAACTCTGCTCTTCCAAGAAACGCGGAACGGCCGGCTATTTATAAAGTAAGACAGGATTTAAAGACCAATTTACCCTCAACAACGGTTGATGGTGGTTTCTAGTCAATGATCACTGGTGAAATCGAAACTCCATGGTACGTAACAGTAATAGTGTAATACTGAAGGGGAACAAATACGAACAAAAGTTTACTTTTAGCTTTTATCTTGAAAGGTTTTAGTGATTTATTTTATATTATAATATTTTTAATCTCTTACTTTACTAAATTTGTAAGTTTTAATCATATTACCTTATACTATAACACTTTTACCTCCTCACCTATTAATATTGAAGAAAATAGCTCTCAATTTATAATATTTTGTTAGTTTTATTAGCTAACTGTTAGTTAATTATTAACTATTAAAAATCTTTTTTAACTAACAGAATTAACAGAACTAACTTTATAATATTTCGTTAATTCTATTAATTAACTATTAGTTGACTGTTAGTTGATAAAAATCTACTTTCAATTAACAGAATTAACGGTCAGTACAAAATGAGGGTTATTTTATTTGATTTTTATAGGTGAGGGGCTAAAACCTACAAATTTAGTAAGGTGAGAGGCTAATAGTGTGTAAGGGGTTAAAACCTTCAAACTTAATAGGGTAAAAAGTTAAAAATATGTTTTTACCACAAATACTGCACCATCTAATCTGTAACTATTAAAAATTGTTAAAAATTTTAATTTAATTATTAAAAATAATTAATAATTAATAAAATAATTTATATTTATTATTTAATAAATTAAAATTAATTTATAAATAGATATCTTAAATATTATAATTACTATTTATAAAATTTTAAATTAGTAAAAATATATTTTCTAAACCATTACAATTTTTTGAGAATAAGAAAGGAAAAATGATATCAAAAACTTTAGAATATTAATTGAATGAGTGATGAATAGTATTGTTTTCATCCACCCATAAATTAAGTTCAAATTATAATGAAATCAATATACTTAACAAATTTAAGGGAAACAATAACATCAACCATATTGCACCTTTCATCCGAGAAATTTTTGTATCCTCGTGTACTGATAAAGCGATAACGCAGCTGTAACTGTGGGGACACTTATAAAGTTATAATTAAACAAATTATAATTTATTGTAAGTATTTATTAATCTATCATTATGTTAATGGATGAAAATTAATACACGATCACCTATTCTATGAAAGAATTTCTCACTGATCCTAGTCAAAATACTACTAGCTGAGTCTAATAAAATGAAGATAAATGCGACTCGTGTTAAAAAACCTCTTTATTGGTAAACCAAATGGTTTTTTTTTTTTTTATACATTTAGTTGAGCGTTTAAGAAGATTAACACGTAGAAGAAATTATTTTAATTTTTTTAATGCATTATTTAATGTAAGAGATGTATTTTAAGATTATTTGATAAGAGATTACCCATTTAATCTTAGAATAATAGGTTTTCTTATTTAAAATTTATTTTAAAATAATTGTATTTATTTATATTTTGAGAGATATATATTTTTATTTTTATTTTATAATTATTTTTCAATTTTATTTATTCATTTTATTATAAAAAATTTTTTATTATTATTTTTTAAAATAAAATAGGTAAAAGTAAAAATTTTTTTAAAATTTTTTAATTTAAAAGATAATATAAAAAAACGTACATTATTTTTAAATTAAAAGACTTTAAAAACTAAAACAAAAAATACCTCGACTGGTTAAAAAAAAAAGGAGTATCGTGTCATATTATAGGGAACAACCTAACCATCACGTAAAAGAAAAATATAGGAAAAACAAAGATTTGAGGTTTCAACTGACAGTGACCCGACGGCCCAGGTCAGAAGTGCATGCACCATATGACTCATTTGCAGATAAGTACAGTGGGTGTTTTAATGAAACCCATTTTTGCCGGTGATCTCTACGAAAGACGTGACGTCATGGGAAGAATGCTGCCCCACAATTATTATTTCCATTAATTAAAATGATTTTTTT